AAAAAAAAAAAAAAAAAAAAAAAAAAAAAAAAAAACAAATTATCTCAAAGTTTTTTTTTAACCATCTTCTATATTCAAATACAAATATTTATTATCTCAAATATTTAAATCTTAGATATTTAATATTTATACTCATGTAGTAAATATTTACTATCAAAATTGTTGTTATATTTATTATTCTAGTCATCAAATTTATTTTATATTGGTTTAAGCTTGAAGTACCTATTCCTTAATTTTTTAAAAAATTTGAATAAATAATTAAATACAAATTAAGTATTCAAATCAAATTAGACACTTGAATTGACATAACAAGGATATTAATTTTTTATTTATTTATTTTGAATTAACATTTTTCATTATACCTAAATATAAAAATAAAATAGCTATACTAATCTAAATAAGATTAATAAGAGCAAAAATATATTTATACTCCTAAAGTATTATAAACTAATAATTTTATTAATTTAAATCAAGTTTATTCATTAATTTAAACATTCGTTTGTTTTATAAATCTATTATCGTTAAAATTTTATCAGTATTATTTTACTATAACCTTAAAACAATTTATTATCAGTTGGGGTGGTAGCTAAATTGTTAGCGTGTAGGTCTCATTTAGAGTTAGAACCTCCCTCACTCCAATTATATTTTTATTTTTAATTTTTTCATTAAAAAAAAAACAAATTATCTCCAAGTTTAATTGGATGAATTTGAAAATTTAAATTTAATATTATTAAAAGACATTTAATTTTTTATTAACCATGGACACAAATATTTATTATCCCAAATATTTAAATCTTAGATATTTAACATTTTTACTCATGAAGATAATATATTGTTATATTTATTATTTTAGCCATTCATAATTTTCAAATTTATTTTATATTGGTTTTTTAAAATATTATTCTAGTGGTTCATACTTTTTAAAAATTATCATTTGACAAAATCAATAGTTTATCATAGATAAAAATGTGTTGAATTCATAGATAAGGGGAATCTAGTACCTATATAAACATAGTATTAAAAAAATAATAGTAAGAGCTAAAATTAAGACACACGAAAGTAATTTAGAGATTATAATAATAGTTGTAAATAAATTTTAGAAGGTAACCACTTTTTTAGTTTTCATTTCATGAGTTACGTTTGTTGTAAATAAGAAATGGAGGAGAATAGAGAAGAAATTGAAAGGGGTTGTAGAAGATGAGTACTTAGAAAGGAATTTAAAGAAATTAATGAAGAAAATAGGGGAAGATGAACTCTAGGAGGAGAAGATATTAAAAACAAATGAAATGGTAGAGAGATAGAGAGCTTTGGTTTAAATATTTTAATGCGTTGTCATGGTAGATGGATCGACATTTTTATCAATCTCTTTGCAACTAGTCGAAGTGGAAAATTTCGATGAAGTTGCATCTTTAACTATTGATTGTCTATGATTTAACATGGTTCACTACAATACATAATGGATACGATAATTGTGTGAGCACATGAAAAAATATGGAAATGAAAAAAATGCTTAAGCTAGTAGAGAAGAAAGGTAAAATTGAGGAAGCAGTAGAGACCTGGGTTTTCGTAAAGGCTAAAGGCCATGTATACCGTGGATACATGAGAGAGATCGTTAAACTACATAAAGTTCTAGTGTCATAAGGAAGCGCTCGGTACTCACCTCAATTCTAGTATTGGATGCCACCTACAGATAGATGACCGACCAAATTCTTGAAGACATGTTACATGTCTGCCTAAGTAACCATATCAACAAAAGGCCGTGTAAGTCCCTAGTGTGCTGGAACGAGGTAGGAGAATGAGAATTATTGTAAGGGACAAGAATGTACACGACTCAAAATAGATAGAAGTTGCGGCCCAACCTTGCTCTGCTGCAGCCCAATAATCCATTTAGCCAGTCCAACCCAATCCCGTCTGCTGCAGCCCAGCCCAGACACAAACCCACAACCTAGACTGACCTGACGACCCGACCTTGATCCGATAATCTGCGACCCGAACAAACCTGCGGCTCGACTGATGCGATGACCTGTGACCCAAACTAACCAAGTGACCCGCACCTTAACTTGGGTCCCGCGTCCGGCCCATACCAAGTCGTCGAGGCCTAGTTTCGTTGTTGGCCCAATGCCAGCTTACCTGATGCTCTGATCCGTACGCCTGACCAATACCCAACTTCAACCCCCACATCTCTGGCTCGACCGCCACTTGCCTCGGCTCGATTTTCAGCAGCTCCAATTGCTTAATCGGCTTAGACGTTTTTTTTTACCCCGTTCTATTTTTTGGCTTAAGCTCAGGTAAATGATTTTACTGTTGGATTAGTTGGATGAATTGTATGAAGCATGAACGACACATGCTCTATGGCTCCTTCACATGTCGTACTCTGTGACTATTTGATGTGAACTTATGTTATATTATATGTTATGCTATGATTTTGTTATAGATATGGTTGTGACTCCACTATTTACGATGCATGATACCAATATATGTTCGTTATGCACACCATGTTAGCATGATTACTTATAGATATAAAATATTGTTGTGCCTGGTATGTATTCATGAAAATGTTTATGAAAGAACGAATGTACGACCTGCATCGTATGTTTATGGCAAGATTTAAAGCTATGGAGACCTCACTTACACTACGTCATGTGCATCAAGATACTTCTCCGTTATGATGAGTACAGATGCCTACATTACGATATCTATGTACATCATAATATTATGGTGGCTCCCAACAGCGTAAGTGTGCGCTAGCTAAGTGCAGGCCCAGAGGGTACGTATATGCCAGCCTAGTGAGTCCATATGCGTGTTCAAGAATCGTGTGTAGAGGAGTACTACACAACTAATTTTGGTTTGGATTGGATAGAAGAGTTCAAGGCCATAAAATATTTTTAGTGAAAAGATAGGTCCCTTCATGATTGCTTATGTTGCATTTCCTGACCCTACTAGAGTCACTTACTTGAGTAAAATACTTAAGCTACGTGTTACTCTTATTTTTCAAGTAAATGTAAGACACCACTGTACGACTGATATTTTACGGTGATGGCCATGGGATCAAACTTAGGGTAGATGCATTTATATTGATTTCCTTTCTTAGCCTTAGCATAGATTCGCGAAAACACAAATTTCTAAGTTTTATTTAAATTTGTGTTCATTTATTTTTCGCCACTTTATTTTAATAATATATTTATGAACATTTGTCCATAGTCTCGTTATGAGATATTTTACATGATTCTTTAGACTACATCGCGCTTGGAAAACAAAACCCAACCAATTTTCCGAGTAAAAATGAGAGAACAAAAAGTGAAACAAGCAAACAAGTTGCCCAACTATGAACCCTAAAATCTCCAAAGATAAGCCATTGAAATAGTAACCGACAACATGAGCACATCATCCGTCCTATTTTTTTTTCGTTCTCTCCTATTCTTGATGTTTTGATGATAACAAAGCTACTTTTCATTATTAACTATTTTCAGTATTTTAAACGATAACATTATAAGGTTGGGAACAACGATTTCAACGACTTTTCAATCACTCAAATCAGAGCTAAAACAAAGAAATTACAAAACAACATACTCGACGTGATGATGTGTCAGCTAAATCAAAATGATAGACAAAAAAAAAGTATGACACTTATGGTTTTGGAAGAGTAAGTGTGAATGTTTGATTAATCCACCACACCTAAATAGTGTGAAAGTTATCTTATTTATAATCAAATGAATTACAAGGATATGGAAATAGTAATAAATGGAAATAACAATAAATGGAAAGATACCTATGATAATAAGGCAAATATTAGATATTTGCCTTATAATAAAATATCAAATATAATATATATGGTAAACTATAATTTATTACTAAATATCCTTAACACCCCACCGCAAGCTAAGCGTCGGATTTAAACGAACGTGAAGCTTGAATCTGAAAAATTCAAAGAGGTTGAGAAACACTTTTCATGAAGATGCTAACAACCCGGTTCTTGGCCATCAAAAATTTGCAGAGGAATCGCCGCTGAGCGGCGATGCTGCCTTGGCTTCGGCGAGAATATG